ATACTTAGGAATAAACTTGACAAAAATGTGCAAAACCTGTAAGAGGAAACACTCCTGAAAGACACAAAACTAGACTTAAACAAAAGGAAAGGCATCTCTCTTCTTGGATAGGACAACTCAACATCATAAAGATGTCAATCTTTATGACATCATAAAGATGTCAATTTAACACAATCCCAAGAAAAATATCAACATGCTTTTTTTGATGGAGCTAGACAAGTTGAAGCTAAAGTTCATTAACAAAACAAACATGTAGGAATAGCCAGGAACACACTAAAAAATAAAAACTACACAGGTGGACTAGTCCTACCAGATATTAAACCATGCTATAAGTCTCCATAATTAAAACAGTGCTACTGTCACAAGAATAGATGTACAGATCGGTAGAATGGAATAGAAAGTCCTGAGCTACATCTACATAAATAAGGAATTAATAAAGGTAGCATCTTAAATCATGGAAGCAAAGATGAATGTTTTAATAAATGTTGCCGGCACAACTGCACAGCCACTTGGAAAATGATAAAACTAGATCTATAGCTCACACTGTACATAAGAATAAACTCCACATTGATCAGGAGACCAAATTTAAAATACCTATATAAATGTAAGTATGTATATAAATGTAAAATATATATACACACATGTATATAAAATAGAAAATAATTGAATAAATTAAACAAGAAAAAATGTGGTGAATTCCTCTGTAAACTCAGTGTAGCAAAAAGCTTTCTAATGATGACTCAAATCCAAGGGCAATAAAAGAAACAGTTCATGAATTTGACCATAGAATTTTTTTTAATTGCGTAGTAAAATAAAGTCAAAGAAGAATTGCCAAATTAGAAGAAAACATTTGTGGCATATATCACAGATAAAGGGCTAATGACTAATATATATAAAGAACTCGTAACATTTAAGGAGACAAGAATCAAAACTCTGATAGAAAAATGGGAAAGATATATGAACAGACAATTCATAAAACTAACAGAAAATGGTCTTAAGCGTATAAAATGATGTCAAACCTCACTCAATTTAAGAAATGCAAAGTACCCTTGAATATGATTTCTCACCTCCCTGATTGGCTAAAGTCTGACAACACATTCTGTTGGTGAGGCCGAGGGCACTCTCATACATTTCTGTGGAAGTGCAAACTTCTACAACTGCTTTGGCAGGGAATTTGACAATCTCTAACAAAACCACATATGCACTAACCTTTTGATCCAGCAATCGTCTTCTAGGAATTCACCTTGAACAGACACCACTAACAATATGAAAATACATACATACATACATACATACACAGCAGCACTGTTTACAATTACAAAATATTGGAATCAACCTAAATGCCCAAATATCAGAGATGTGTTGAATAAACTATGGCATATCCACACAATTGAGTACTATGCAGCAATAAAAAAGCATAAGGGATATTTTTATGAGCTGACTTGGAATGATTTCCAGGATATACTGTTAAGCGAAGAAAGAAAAATACAAAAGAATACTACCTTTCAAGTAAGAAAGAAGGGCAAATAAAAAAAATATACAAGTATCTTCTCATTTTGCAAAAATAAATACAGGAAGTATAAAGCAGAAATGAAGGAGACAGGTTACCTCCAGGACGTGGGTGAGAATAGGGTGGAAAGGATGGGGAAATAGCGGGGGAGGGGTGAGAAGAGTGACAGTTCTCTGAGTCCTTTTTTTTTTTTTTTTTGTGAGGAGGACCAGCCCTGAGCTAACGTCCAACGCCAATCCTCCTCTTTTTTGCTGAGGAAGACTGGCCCTGGGCTAACATCCATGCCCATCTTCCTCCACTTTATATGGGACGCCGCCACAGCATGGCTTAACAAGCGGTGCGTCGGTGCACACCCGGGATCCGAACCGGCGAACCCCGGGGCCGCCGCAGCGGAACGTGCGCACTTAACCGCTTGCGCCACCGGGCTGGCCCCTCTGAGTGAGTCCTTTTTGATAGTCCCCTCTTCTTATAGTAATAATTAAAATCAACAAATGTCAGGCTCAATTTTTTTAAAACCACAAAATTATTACTTGGCATTGATGCCTGCTATTTCTTGGTTTTCAGATTTCTGAATTAATAATTTTTTAATTAAACAACTTTTTAAAGAAATACTACATGCAGAGTAGTAGGCTAAGTGTAATGAAGACTTTAAAATGGATTAGATACTATAAATAACCTCAAGAAACTTCTGTTCTAAATAATGCCTCATGTAGAAAACAAACCAAAATATTATGGATGTACAGAAAGTTGGAAGAAAGGCAAAAATAAAGGCAATTTGCAAAATAAAATCAGAAATTTTATGAAGTCAGTTTGCTAAAGTATACATCTTAATTTAATTCTTATATCTTTATCATTTTATGCCACAGTTTCTTCTAAAAATAATATAAAACAAGTTAAAATTTAAGAGATAGACATACTAGAATCACTAAAACAATGTTAAGTGATATAAGTTAAGAAGTGGAGAAAAAGTTGTGTGGGGGAATAAAGTTAGACAAATATGAAAGCTACTTAGGAAAAAAATTTATTTGTAAATTACCAGAAGAGATGGCAAAAAAGGAAAAGTGCTAAGTCAGAGTCCTTATTATCTAATGAAAAAGCAGATCAGTTCATCAATTGAATGGGCTGTTGGAAACTGACAACCCTCAAGGACCTGTTTCTATGACCTGTTGCAGCACAAGAAGCAATAAGTCTGTGTAGTGTGGGCCTCTATAGCCGAGTCTGTCACTTGCAGCTGAGAGCATTTGCGACTGATATACACTCCGTGAACTAGATGGAATGTGATTGTTTCAAACACCTTAACAATATCATCTTACTAACTTAAATAATTCCATCAGTTGCATTGTCAGAGGACAAAAAAAAAAATCTGAAAATGAATAATGTACAAGCAAAACAAAAAATAAATAAAACAAGGCAAACATCTGTGTGTTCATAGAAGCTGGAAACCCTGGCACTGCCCTCATAGTCAGTGGATTTCAAATCTGAAGGAGAAAAGGAAAAATGACTGAGGAGCCGGATCCAAAAGATCCTACAGACCCAAGTGTTCTGGTTGACAATGGACAGATGAATTTGGAGGTTAAATAAAGTGCAGCCATCTGCTTAAAAATTGGCTAAAATGCAGGTCATATATCTAAGATCAGAGCTAAAAACAAAGGAAAGCAGATGTCTGACGAAGTTTAAGACAAAACATGCAACTCTCAGGATCAGATTTTACATGTAATAAAAGGCCATGAAAACCAAATTATTTTTACTATCTTTAATAATATCCTGTTTTACTCTTGTGATTCTAGGGAATTTCGTTCTGGGAAATGAAACATTTATTTTTATGTTTTAGAATCCTGGCTTTTACTTTTATATTTTATTATCATTTAAATTCTTAATCCAAATTTGCTAGATAATAACAAAATACCTGGTGACTGTTTCAAACTTATGGAAAACAGTTAAAATGAGACCTAAGCAAAGGTTGCCGGGTCTTATCACTAATTATATATTCTCTTAGATTTTTAAAATACTAATACACACCTAAAACTACTTGTTCTATTCTTTATAGAATAAGAGAAAGTCCAAACCTGGGAAAAATCATAAATTCTAAGAGATATTTGAATGGAAAATAATGGGACCAGAAGGAGCAGCGATATTATCTTTGCCTTGTTAACACAGAGATTTTTATTTTAATAGAACAGAAATTAAGGAAAACCTATACCAAATCTACGGCAACATATCCACATCTGAATCACAAGTTCATTTGGCTGACTGTTTCTGAGATGGACACGGATGGCAGGTCCATGAGGGGCCCTCACACAGGCCAAGTGAGGAGGAAAAGGCCACTAAGCCTGCCCTGTGCAAGTCTCAGAACAGGCTGACATCATCCATGTTCAAAAACATATAGCAAAGGTTACAGGGTACCATCAACCGGTCTGTATTTCACGAAAGCACAGACATGAGCCACAGAAAACACCTATTGGCCTTCTAGTTTGGTAGTCTCCTAAGCAAAGCTGCCACTCAGATGGTCTGTTTGCTAAGGAACAGTGAAGACTTGAGCTCTTATTCATCTTACATCCCTAATTCTTCTCTTCTTCTTCACATAGCTACAGGGCAATGTAACTCGAAGACTTTTAATGTCTCCTTCCCTCCAGGTCACATATTTTCTTCCTACCCTCCAATTCCTGGCAATCATCAACTGTTTTTCTCCCTTCTTGTCATTTACAGTTAAAATAGAGCCTGTACCAACCCAGAAAACAGCCACCCAGGAAGCTGATGTACACATAATTCAGTTTAAAATGAGGGAGTAAGCCAAAATGGCTATCAAAAAGGCAATCCATGTCTAATAGTCAGTACTTGTCTACATTTATTTTATATTCACTTCTGAGTCATCTAATTTTGACAACTGATTAGAAACAGCAAATTACATAGTCTAATATTTTGAAGAAATAGACAGACTAGAGCAGACCTGGCATAAACACACATGCCTAATGCTGAAAGGGGCAAAGACTGGTACAGATCCCAAGACCTCACACCAGCAAGTCTGTGGCACAAACGACATACTATTCGTTACTGACGTAGGCCGTAAAATCATAAAATCTGGAAATTGGGAAGGATCCCAGAAATCTAGTCACGTCCCTCTCATTGCAGAAATTTCTCCTCTAACACCCCATACAGTGATGATCTGGTCACTGTGTGAACATCAGGACTAACTTATTGCCTTATAAGAAGCCCATTCTCTGTTGTAAAACATTGGTTAGAAAGCTCATTCTTGAAAAGTCAAAAATTGCTTCCCTGTAACTTCGATTTATTGGTTTGAATTTATTTATTCAACCAGAATTTACAGAGTAACTCTTCTACGTAGTGGACAGTATTTCCATAAAGATAAAACATATCTGCCCTTTATCTATCTAGAGAGACAAACCCATGAACACAAATAAAAATAAAGTACCAATTGCCTTTCCTTTGCCACTTTGTCCTTTCTATACTCCCAAGTCTCAGTACTACTTACCTGAATCACACCTCCCAAGAAGGAGACGGCTGCAGCGACACCGATCCTCTGCATCTCAAAGTCAGACAAGCCCAGCACACTTGTGTTACTCTGTGTGGTGAGGTTCTGGCTGCTCAGAGGGACAAGCCGTTCCACTGCATTGGCTGATATTAAGGATGTCAAGGCAAAGGTGCCTAAAAGAAGAGGGTGGGGTGAGGAATCTTCTATTAGGAACAGACTCAATAAAAATTGTTGGATTCCACCATTAAAGTTGAATCCACATTGCAAAACCAAACAGATCTATCAAAAACACTCTCCTCTGCACCCCTACTCCTCCACCCTTCACTCCACTCCATGGAATAAACAGACACTTGCCTACAATTACACATATTCCTCCAACACACAGTCACCATCTACCTGCTATTCCCTCCCAGGCCATACATTTTCCCAACTCTCTGCAGACCTGCATAGAGAATGTCCCCTGGGCAGCGATTAAGATCATGGTCTGGATTTGAATCCAGCTCCTCCGTTTATCACTAACATGACTTAAAAGCACAGTACTCTGAGTCTAAATTGCTTCATCCATAAAATAGGGGTAATAATACCTATATTTCAGGGTTGAAATGGGGGGAATATAAATGAGATGATATATATCAAGACCTCAGCAGGGTCAGTGGCTAAATATGAGCTCTTTGCTGAATCTGAGGCTCTTTGCCTGAAATGCTTGCTCCTCCAATCTACCTGTGCAAACACTCTTGCCTTTCCAGGTCTAGCTCACATCCCATACCCAACAAGGATCCATTCCAGATCCTTCAGGCCAGGTTTAATCTTTCTACTCCCTGTGCTCTCAAAGCAGAGTAGACCTTTATTACAGCATAATACAACATGCTGTGCCCTATAAAATGATTAAACTTACTGTTTTCGTCTACTGTAATTAGATAAGGTTCAAAGGCATTTTCCAGGGATTGAGCTGGCCTCACACAAATGGAGAATCATTTTCAGTGTGTTCTCCTCTCCCTGCCAAGAGTTCTGATGCCTCTCATCTTGGCATAGCATGTCTGAGAATGCAGCCACATGGGCAGGGAAATGCCAGTTCCCACAGAGAGGGTTCAGCAAATTTAAAGAAACAAACAGTGGTACTGCACAAACATTCCACCTGACTCATTACTTAAAGACCTTACTTTGCTCCAGGTCATACAAGAGACTTTGAAAAACAGCCTGTGGCCAGATGTAGATATCTCAACATAAAACATGCAGCTGCACAGGGCAAGAGAGTCAAACAAAAACAGGTCTCAATGGAAACCAAATACAGACAACCCTCTGATCTTACTGGATAAGAGAGGCAGTATGTGTTGTGGCTCAGAACAGCATAGTTGTAGCCTCCAATAAACCTCACCTTCAATCCCAGCACTGTCATCTTAATCTCTTTATCTATAAACAGCTAGCATTCCTCACCCAGTGGGGTTGTTATGAGACTTAACTAAAATAACACTGTATATGGCATATAGTTAGCACCTAAAAAACATAATTCTTACTAAGAGTAGGATCAGAATGCTCTGTTATGGTCTGTTATTCTATGTTCTTTGCTGTCCCATTGAGTCGATAGTACATAAACACATGGAGCAAACTGAATATAGTCCTCATAGGGAGCTGTGTCATTCTCAATAAATCATCAGTAAATATTAACCATCATGATCACTGTCCTTATCATTAAGTACTAAATTAAGAGCACATCAAGGAACAAATATATTAATGATTAGAGACAAGCTTCTGGCATCCATGATGGGCAACACCAAGTAAGGAACATTCACCATAGAATCTGCTCTTGACAAAACATATTTTTTCAAGATATGTTGCAACAGAATTTCTCAAAGTCTCATTCTCCTGAGAGTAAAGTGTGCCTTTTGGTCTTTAAATCTCTTAAAATGATTTGTACAAAAGCCGCTGAACAAATGACTACAGAATTGAAAACAAAGATATTCTGGAGTTCATTTTTGAGTTTAGGCCTATCTTTTCTGGGATTTGGAAGGAGATAGGAGGGAACTGAATGGTAAGAGAGAAAGGACTGTCTAAAAGCTTTTGCTAGGGGAAGAAAAGTGAGCCTCACCTGCGAATGAGTCACATCTCAAGAAAGTGTCCAGAGAGAGACCTTACCAGCAATGGATGTGGTGATATCCACTGTGCCAACACGGATATGGGAGTGCTGCCTCTTTAGCGAGGATGATGCTTTGCTGTTTCTGAGACAGTTAAGAACAATGGAGGATGCTGGCACTGTGAATATGTGAGGATATTGTGGATGACAGTCTACCTTAGTCTCTATCTTATAGGTCTCTCCCTTGTCTTGATCTCCTCCCTATTACTCTCTGCTCTCTCCCTCACATTCTCAACTTTTTACCCAGTTAGGCTTTAAGCCTACCAGTGGTGCTCTAGTATCTAGCAGCTTAACAGTAATGTGGATAGCAGGGCCCAATAGAAAGTGCCTGCATATGTGCCTCAGAGTTAGGCAGACCCAAGTTCAAATTCCAGTTCTGCTGAATATTAGCTTGTGATCTTGGTCAAGTTACCTAACCTCTCTCAGCTTCCTTATTTGTAAGATGATGGTAAACTATCTAGTTACAAAATTTTCATAAAGATTACGTGAGATTTCATACATTAAAAACGTTGATCACAAGTCCTACCTCATTGTAAGCCTTCAGTAAATAATTGTTTTCTTATTTTCTTTTCTTCTGAAGAGTTCCCTGTACAGTCTCTCTAACGTTTTCTCTAAATTACTGAACAGATTTTGCTCTTTAAAAAATTTTCTCTAATTTAGAAGATGAGTATATACCAAAAAATGTCACATATGGGTTATCTTCAACAATTCTGTTTCCAATGGATTCATATTCAGGATACTGTCCTTTTCCCTTTTATTCCAAGACATGTTCTTTGCCAGTTACAAGAAGTAATCAGTGATTTACTCCTTTTCAAAATCTACGTATTTTTTAAATAAAAATAAAAAAATTCATATTGTTGAGTAAAACAGTACATTCAGTGTCTTTACACTCTGGCTTTTGATTTATTTGCTTTTAAAGGTACCTCTAGCATAATTTATTACTGCATTTAGCAATTTGGTATTACATTCTGACCACCTAAGTTGGAGGTAAAATCCCAGATAAACTGATTTTTCTTTATGAAAGCAACATCAATCTCTTAATAATAGAGTGGAAGTAGGAAAACCCACACACATATATACACCAAAATAAAATACAATAAAATGATTTAAAAGATAAATATTTTCTCTATATTAAATGTTTGCAGAAACTTTTTGGTGAGATTCAATTGGTCCCTATGTTTAAGACCATAGGAAAGTCAAAAAAATAATTAGTTTCTATACTTCCCCTGATATATATATTATATTCATTTCTTCTTTACTGATTCTAAAGAATTCTAAATATACTGGGGTAAAAAAGAAATGAGAAGGTCCAGCTGGCTCTGTCCTTTGGAGAAGTACATATGCAGAAATAAAATGCCTTTAGCATTTATTGTGTGATATAGTGACTATAGTTAAGTCTGTAAATTAAATGTATTTTGAAATGTGTATTATTTACCTAGTAGACTAGAAGGTTCCAATAGCTATTACTAATATTTGTTAAATACAGAGTCTCATATAAATGGTAATTTCAAAACCATGCCACCAGTAAAATGTCTACAGTGATTCTTTAGGAAATAAAGTGCTTTTTGTAAATGTTCATTTAGGTATGTATCAGGTTGTGTATTTTTGACTTGTTAAAGTAGTTATGGTCTATTGGGCAAATTTTTTTACCTGTTTTCTTTTATCTTTTGTTTGACAGAGGACAGGTTTTGGCGTCAGCTCTTAAACAACCTGTTTTTTCTTGCTAATGACGTATTTAAATGTTTTGGACAATGAAAATAAATTGTTATGAAATTAGGGAGCGGGATAATTTGGAAAAAATAGGCTTCAAGAACTTCTAATTCATTTTTTTGCTTTTCTCCTTTTGCCTCAACACAAAGGAAAGTGCATTCTTGAGCAACTGGTTGTAAAGAAGAAAAGTTTGGGCACACCTGGGTTGTGATCCATGTACCTGCAACTTGAATCTGTACTTCCACAGAAAGCTTTCTGAATTTCAGGGGTTGTTTTCCAACATAAATATGCACATAATAATGTCTGTTTAAAAGGGTTGTGTTAGGACAAAATAAAATAACACATATAAAGCTCTTAATAAAGCATCTAATAAATAGTACATCTATGGTTCTCAAATTTAACTACATATACATACACATACATACTATATATTTATCTATTTATATATTTTAAATATTTTTATATTTATATATATATATAACCTGGAGATCTTGTAAAAATGTTTATTCTGATTCAGTAGGTCTGGAGTGAAAACCAAGATTTTGCACTTCTAACAAGCTCCCACGTAACACTGTTCCTGCTGGTTCGTGCGTGACTGTGCTTTAGGTAGCAGTGCTGTAAATGACGGATAACTGTTGATCCTATCCCCCATGACAAAGTTAATTGATATAAGGAGCCAAATTTACATAAATAAAAACATTATTTTATGGGTTAATTTCTGCATGAGAAAATGTATGTATCAATGTGGTAGGCAGAATCACGGCCTTCCAAATGCATCCACGTCCTAATCCCCGGTACCATAAATATGGCAAGGGGGAATTAACATTGCAGATAGAATTAAGGTTGCTAATCAGCTGACCTTAAAATAAGGAGATTATCCTGGATTATCCAGTTGTGCCCAATGTAATTACAGGGGTCCCTTAAACACGGAAGATGAAGGCAAAAGATCAGAATCAGAGAGAGATTTGAAGATGCCACACTGCTGGCTTTGAAGATGGAGGAAGGTGCCAGGAGCCAAGGAATGCAGGAAGCCTCTAGAAGCTGGAAAAGTCAAGAAAACAAATTGTCCCCTACAGCCTCCAAAAAGAATGCAGCCCTACTGACACCTCAATTTTAGCCCAGTAAGGCTCATTTCAGACTTCTGACTTCTAAAACTGTAGGATAACATATTTTTCTTGTTTTAAACCACTAAGCTCATGGTCATTTGTTACATCAGAAATAGGAAACTAATACAGTCAATATCACAAACTGACCACTGAAGAAATAGACACAAAACAGTATTACTTACAGAGAGCTGAGATCTTACATGCACAAAATAGACAGAAATGCCTCTCTGGATATTTCCAGTTAAAAGTATTTTTATTATTATTGCCTTAATATTTAAGGTTAAGGGATTATTTTTGTAATAACAGCTAACTTTTATTAAATCTTATTATGTAGCAAGTACGAAATTAGACACTCTACATCAATGATCTCATCTAATTCTCACTACAATCACATGAAATTTTTTTGGTATTTTACTATCAAGACAGCAGTAAACACAGCTCTAAAACTTTGCCTAAGGTCATGCAGATACACCTAGGTCTAACTCCAAAACCCATGTTTTTAACCAGCGTGCTCTATTATCAGACTGCTTGTGACAATTCACAGTTTATTTGGTAATGCAGAGCTAGGCAAGGTAAGAAACATAGTAATTAAAGGGCATTATAGACTCCAATTTGGAAGAAATCTAAAAGATGATTTAGTCCAAATATCGATTACATAGAAAATATTTTTCAATATTTGAGCAACTAAATTTTATATAGTCTTTTCTTTTCCTCAAAGTACTTACTTTCTCTCATTTCACTGTAAATTCAGAATAGTTGTCCTTATTTTATGGTCTTTTTACAACTTACAAATGCCAAGAGTCTTTAACAATAACCTTGGTTACATAGTAATATAGCAATAAATTACAGTACATATTGAGTAAAGCACAGAAAGTTAAATGTCTTACTCTAATATTTGCTGAGGTTTTCAGTAGTAAAGTTAGAATTGCTTTGGAAATGTAATCAGTAACTAATGATCACTTCTGAGTCCCTTTCATTAGTAACATGAAAAGCACAAACACAGACAGAAATTATTACCTGTGGCAACATGACGTCCCATTCCAAATATGGCGTAAATGATGGCAGGAAACAGAGACCCATATAAACCAAAGACTGGGTGCACAGATGAGAGAATAGCAAAGGCCAACCCTGAGAAGGAGACGGAGGTAATTACGATCATCTTATAACCCCAAGATACAGTCCATTACAAAGTAGAACAGAAATTGGTTTACTTAACACAAAAGAAACAACAATTTAATTATTCTACTTGCTCAATGAAAGCCTAGCATTATCGTCCTAAATAACATAAAATTCATTCCTTAGTTCATATTTATATTTCAATTCTAAAAACCATTATTTTTGGACTACTACTTTTCCCCTTGATTACAGAGATATCTACAAGAAAATGTTGGCTCAGAGCATCTTCCTGGTAAAAGTGATAACATCATAGAAAAAAATATCTCCACACACACTTAGAGAAGCATTTTCACATGTATCGTTTTATACGCACAACAGCATCTGTGAGATAGACAGAACTAGTAGCATTACCACTGACAGGTGAGAAGCCTGACACGAAGGTGACTAAGGTTGGGGAAAAAAAGACCCACATTCAAAGTTGCCTGGTTGGCTGGCTGGCCAGCCTGAGTGTGTATCACAGAGGCAGGGCCAATGTGTGAACCCGTGCACTTCCCATAACTGGACCCCAGCCTATATTCAGGTACAATTTTTTAGAGTGAAAAAAAAATCAACTTTATTTATTCAAAGAGTAAGTAAGGAGTAGCTCATAAATGTTCATTTTTATTCCTTATAGATACTACTGCCTACATAGTTTGTATGTTATATGCACACAGAAAATTTTCCTAGACATGTATAAATGACCACTAGTCGTTTAAACGTGACCAAAATATGCATGAGTATGATTTCATTAAAGTGATCTTGTTTGTGGCTGATCCTTGACGTTAAACAGTGTGTTAAGCTAGGTTCTGACAAATCTCTCAAGTCTATACAACTTAATGATAGGTGTTTGATTGGGCATAAAGGACTTTACAAGTCACAAAGAAACTTGAGGAAGGAGGTGCATTAGAATCTAAATTACCTAAATATGAGGCCAGTTCTTCTTTGTTTTTTTTTGCTGAAGAAAATTTGCCCTGAGCTAACAACATCTGTTGTCAATCTTCCTCTTTATTTTGCTTAAGGAAGATTAGCCCTGAGCTAACATCTGTGCCAGTCTTCCTCTATTTTGTATGTGAGTTGCTGCCACAGCATGGCTGACTCGTAGTGTAGGTCCATGCCCAAGGATCCAAACCCATGGACCCTGGCCGCCAAAACTGAGTGCGTGGAACCTAACCACCAGGCCACAGGGCCACAGGCCAGTTCTTTATTCACACTAGGAAGCCTGGCAATCTGGTTCCAATATCAATACTTTCTACTGTTTTAAAGTTGTTTAATTTTATTTAAATAAGTAAATTCTAGTTGTACATCAAATATCTTTTCAAGCAGTACAAGACATTTTGGCTATAACTGAAATACATGAAAGGTCTACCAATGACCATTCCCTTCTTTATTTTTAAAAACCCATCTGGGGCCAGCCCCGTGGCTTAGCGGTTAAGTGCGCGCACTCCAGTACTGGCGGCCCGGGGTCCGGATCCCGGGCGCGCACCGACACACTGCTTCTCCGGCCATGCTGAGGCCGTGTCCCACATACAGCAACTAGAAGGGTGTGTAACTATGACATACAACTATCTACTGGGGCTTTGGGGAAAAAGGGGAGGAGGATTGGCAGTAGATGTTAGCTCAGAGCCGGTCTTCCTCAGCAAAAAGAGGAGGATTAGCATGGATGTTAGCTCAGGGCTGATCTTCCTCACAAAAAAAATAAGAAATAAAAAAATAAAAACCCATCTGGGTTGCCTGTTTATGGGTAACTTATTCATAAAAGTCTGGTGAAAATAAATAAAAAGTGATTGTAGAAGACTCAGTGCAGAGGCTGTTGTAGAATTTCATACAAGCAGGATGAGAGACAGCAATCTGGTTGTTGGGAAGGGTGGTGTTGCAGCACAGGTCCTGAAGCCAGGTTAGCACTGGAAGGCTAGATATTGCCCCACCCCCACCAACAAGGACCTCCTGACATTTACAGTGTAAGCAACTTTGTAAAGAGTATTGTGTGCATTACATCAGTCATATGGAAAGCTGGAGAACAACTTTTTCTCAGCCATTTTCAGAATGAGTCACTTGATAAAAATTACCTATCAAAAGACAGAAATGCAGAGTGTTTCCAAGTAAGAAAAACTGTGGCCCACATTTCAGATCACTCAGATCTACTAAATCAATGATGGGGGGTAGGGAAATAGGCATGCCGCGTATTCAGCAAAAGCACCGTGGATGAATCGTAGGGACACTCAACTCTGATGAATGTGCTAAATACTGACAGGACCGAGTTTGCTGGAGTAGACATCTGGCTACATCTCTACTCTACCTGCAACAACAAATGTGAATACAAAGCTAGAAGAAGCTGGATTCTCTCCTCTTGCCTTGTGAACAGCTACCCCGTTTATCTGTTTGCTTTACTACAGTAATCCTCATCTCTCTCTCTCCATTTAACCCAAATAAAATCTATAAAAGAATTAGTTCAAAAACTGAATTTCTTTGAATCCCATATTCCTATCAAATTAAAATGGGAATAGTCATGGGGCCAGCCTGGTGGCATAGTGGTTAAGATCATGTGCTCTGCTTCAGCGGCCTGGGGTTCGCAGTTTCAGATCCTGGGTGCACACCTACACACCGCTCACCAAGCCACGCTGTGGTGGCATCCCATATACAAAATAGAGGAAGATGGGCACAGATGTTAGCTCAGGGGTAATCTTCCTCAGCAAAAAAGAGGAAGATTGGCAACAGATGTTAGCTCAGGGCTGATCTTCCTCACACATACACACAAAAAGGGAATAGTCATGTAAAACACATTTAACTCAAATCTTTAATAGATCTCTAGACCTATAAATGCAAAATGTCACGTCGGTAGATTCTACAAGAACCACCTCAAAGACTAGAAATTTTGTAGACACCTCTTTTATCTAATACAACACTCGTACTGAGATTTCACTTTAAGCAAGTGTCCTTCCCCCTCAGTGAGAAACTATTTCTATGCTAATATGGCAATGAACAACAGCCACAATAAAGGAGAACGGCCTAATTCACAATGCGCAGTGCTTTAAAACTTCAAGTACCCCTTCCATAAATAAGAACTACAAAACCCAAGCCTTCCTCCCACACAGACCTCCAAAAAGGAGAGGGGAGTGGATAAAGGTTTCTTTTTCTGATTCATTTATTATTCTGGTTCACGGGATAAGCTACGTACATATTTTAATACACACATTCATACAAGCTAAAATATGTTAAATCCTCCAAAGATGCTGAAAATATTAATGAGTTAGAGTCACAAATTAGCAGAATTATCTACACTCTTCTCCATGTTTAATAAAACAGGGTATTCAATTCAATCAGAGCAGAATTACAACTCTCTATCATTTTGGGGAAAAAATTGCTGCAAATGCTAACAGATATTTGTATTACCTAATCTAACTGAGATAAGAGCAAAATCAGCACAACAAACAAAAGTATAAAAGAATAAAAACAAAATGGGTATTAGGCCAAAGGAGGATGGGGATGAATGAGAAAAAGAGAAAGGGAGAGCGAGATAGAAGGGGGGGAGTGGGAGAGGGAGGGCGGGAGAGGGAGAGAAGGAGAGAGAAAGGGAGAAGGGAGAGAGAGAGTAGGGGGGAGAGAGAGAGATAGAGAGACAGAGAGACACAGAGATTGATTGGAGGAGAAAACTTAAAACTTGAGATCTTTAGATGGTTGATTATTCTTAAAGATCAAAAATCATGTCTTGGTAATGCAAGTCTGATATATCCACAAAAAAAAACCGTCACTAGAAGACTTTGAAAGACGCAATTTTTAAGAAAACTTTTTTTTTTATTGAAGTATAATTGACATACAATATCCTATTAGTTTCAGGTGAACATCATAGGGATTTGATATTTATATACATTATGAAAGGATCACCACAATAAGTCTAGTTTCCATCTGTCACCATACAAAGTTATGACAATATTATTCACTATATTCCTATGTTGTACATTACATCCCCATGACTTAGTTATAACTGGAAGTTTGTACTTCTTACTCCCCTTCACCTATTTCACTCACCACCCAAAACTGCCCCCCCCAACCACTAGTTTGTTTCCTGTCTCTATTAAGTCTGTTTCTGTTTTGTTTGTTCATTCGTTTTGTTTTTTAGATTCCACATATAAGTGAAATCATATAGTATTTGTCTTCCTCTGTCTGACTTAAGGAAAATATGTTTCATAGGTGTAGTAATGGTCATTATAGTAGAGAAGTAGAAGAGACTCCATATTCCCACAACAAAATCATCAGTAGTTTCAGGGCCTGTGAACACGACCCAACTTTCGAGGCGTCCTGAGTGTGAAGCTGGACACTTAGCACCAGCCCCCCGCCCTTCCACCCAGGCTGCAGTGAGAATGGCTTCCCTAGACACGGTGCCTGACCCCTGCCGAGGAAGAACACAAAAGCGGGTAAGTAGCTCAATCTTTGCTTCTGTTCCTAATATAATTTCTTGGCTGAAATCACTAGAAAGTGACTCCATCATGGCTGGTGAGAAAGAGAACTGTTTATCACAGAGAAGATGATGTTTTATATTTTAAGATAAAGATTTTTATTTATTTCAGCCCAGTTTTATGTGGATTTGCATGACAGCAATTATTCAGAAAACCAAAGAAACCTGGAAGTGCAAAAGGTTGTCTAGAAATTGAGTAATGTATCTGAGGTGGGGAATTGTGCTGGAATTACATATAGAGAGCCACTCTGTTGGGGACTTTTATATTTTCTTGGTTTAGTGACCTCATCTTTATTGTGATTGTGAGGTCAGGCAACTAAGACTCAGAAGCACTAGTCTTACTCCCTTCAGGCCTGACTATAAGAACAACAGTATTTTATAGACTGAGGCTTTTGGTTATGGAGCTTCTAATACTACCCAGAAAACTACAGCTACCAGAAGTCAATGGGACAACTATTCCAGTAGAATTCACTGCCCTCAGAATATCAAGCCTGTTCATAAAACACCTTTGGGTTTTGTT